TTTTTATAAAATAATAATTTATTATAAATATTTTTATAAATTAATAATTTATTATTAAAATATATTTTGGTAAACACAAATATTTATGCTGCTTATGCAGACATTAGATTATATACTATATGTGACAATATTGCATGTTATCATTTTTTAATATACATATATTTTTCAGATGTCAATACAAAGAATGCCTTATCCACCACATGTCAGAAAAGACACTGCTAATATTATACTACGAGAAGTAATTTGTACATTTGCAGTTATAGCTTTTATAATCCCATTTTGTATAGAAGCTAACTATGCATTAAATGAGAAATTTATTGGTGTAAATGTTAGTACAAAATTATTACATAGTGTTATTTCATTTTTTATGTGTGTAATTATTATGAGATATTATTTGTCTTACTGTTTTATGCAGGTTTTAATAGCAATGAATGGAGTTAAAATGGCCTACAATTTATTAAGCTGGTTAATCACAGGAATATTATTCAGCATTATTTATACAGTACCAATAATCATATTATTTAAAAATACTTTTTCTAAAAATGTTGAAGCTTATTTGCAATATGGAAATGCTTTTATATTTTGGCTCGTATTTACTGCACACATTGGTCATCTTATAACATTTGGCATGCATATTGCAGCTTACTTTTCAAAACGTAAATAACTATTCTTCTATCTTTTGTAAAATAAATAACATTTTTTAAGATATATTAATTGATGATATCTTTTACAGCACGTTTTGTGACAATTGCTCTATGCATATATACGGCAGCATTTTCGTTCCACCAACATTTGTGGAAGGCTGAAGCTTTTGGAATTATACCATATTTTGGTATAATCTTTCCAAATATTCTGCTATTTAGATTTCTTCAAGAAACAAATGCACATGAAGGCAAATGTAATAACTTCCATTTATTTGTATCTATTAGCTATATAATTAATTTATTAAAAAGGTTTAGTAAATTACACTGTACACTATACATATATATTGTAAATAAAAAAATTTCTTTTATTTTAGTAATCGGTATTCATTGGAACAATATTTTTGTTCCTGGGAATGAGGAATATGGTATTGTCGGAAGTACAGGCTTCATATTTCTCTTCTCAGTTTTGGGTGCTGCGATACATTTTACACTTGCAATTTATATAAATGCCATACTTCCTGGTAAATACGGAGTTCGAAAGGATCCATTGTATTTTTTGAAGGCAAGTTTATACAGTGCTATCATCCAGTTACTTCAATTACTTTTTGTTACTTTTTTTTTAGTAAACTAAGAAGTTACTATCATTCAAAATAAATTACTATAATTTTATTTTAAATTGACATGAGTTAAACATAAGAGTTTTTCTCTTCATATTTTTACTGTCTTGACTGATAGGTAATAATTGTCATTTGATCACTAGATACTGGTCTGCTGTGATAATTCCTGCACACTATGGAAAAAATATTAGGAGTAAATATTAAATATTAGGAACACAGACTATTTTAAAATAATAAAATCGGAAGTAAACTGATAGATACAAATTCACATATAAAAGGCTAGCAAATTTATAGTAAGGACACTTACTAGCTCTTTGTATATGATTTTTATTTGTATATCAGATATATTTTGATTTTATCATATTAAAATGATTCCTATTTCTAATATTTAATATTTATGAAATATATTCTTATAATATTTTCTCTAATGTACGTGAGACCTTAGTATCTTGATTACTTTGTATCGCAAATCGAATGTTAGACAAGTAACGCGATTTTAAACTCTAACATGCTGTTAGAGACTAGGAACAAAAACGCGCGCAAAGAAGAAAACAATTACTGAACAAAAGAATGTTTATGCTCGAACTCTGCAACATTTATTCAGTATTCAATTGTTTGTCAGAGTGTCTGTTGGTGCTGTCCATGACTATTTTATCGTGTTACCAAAATTCCTCCAAATATAAGCCTTGGCTTCATTTAATTTCTGGTTTCTATTTATTTTTAAAGGTAAATATATTTATTTTAATAGTATGTTAATATTTTATATAAATATTGTTTATTTTATTATATTTAATGAAATGCACACTAGGTATTTATTTGACTGAATAAAACTCCGGAAATATATTTATATCATTTAAGCTCCCTTTTTATTTTATTATAAATTTTTAAATCTTGTCATGAAAAAATGTGTTGTATATTAGGTCATCTAAACATAGATCTGTATTATTTTTGTTTAATAGCCTTTTACTTCATCTGAAAATTTCATACAAAATATCGCTTTTGATTACTATTTTAGTTAATATTTTAATATACCTAAACCTCACATTTTGTGATTTTTTCAGTCAAAAAGTAGTCTCTATCTCACTTTTCTGATCCAGTAACTGCATGGCAGCATTGGTTTATATACAGGGTATCCGGTAACTAACGGACCAACGATTACAAAATGGATTCTTTGGAACGATTTTTTCTCAGCGAAAATGTCGAAAAAGATCATTATTTTTTACAACTTTTCAATATTTGTCATTATGTATCTTTATAACTAAGCCTCAAATTAAAATTTTATTATAGTAAACTCTACCAGAAATTTACTGAAGAATGTAATTATGATAGACTTTTAACTTTAAAACGTTTAATTTTCAAAAAACCCATTTTTTCGATTGCTTATAACTTGAAAATTATTGACTTCTCAACATTTTTGCTAAGGAAAAATCGTCTCCAAATTGGCCAGAGAATCCGTCCTTAATCATTGGTCCGTTAGTTACTGGACACCCTGTATGTAAAGATTATTAGAATACAAGCATTATTAAATGTGGGACATAATTATATATGGTTTCATATTTTACAGTGTATCAAAAAGAATGAAATATTTTTCGACGAAGAAATTGTTGAGTTTGATTGCAGTAAAGAGGATAATGAAAACTTTGAACCAGTATCAAGTGGTACATTTACACCTGGAATCCAAATACGTAATCTTAAGAAATCTTATACAACAAGCTGGTTACGAAAATCTGTAAGCATATATGTAAAGATAAATATTACATTTCTATGTAATGCATTTAATTAATACTAAATTACTACATTTTAGCAAGTTCATGCACTGAAAGGAATTTCTGTGGACTTTTACAAAGGACAAATTACTGCTTTACTTGGACATAATGGAGCAGGCAAAACCACACTTATGTCTATATTAACAGGTAGATTGCATCACAAAATAATTTTTAACTTGAAAATGTTATTTTATGAAAGAACTCATATTTATTGTCGAATAGGTGTAACGAGTGAGACGGAAGGAAAAGTAATCATAAACGGCAAAAATATAAGAAAACATCTCCACAGTATTAGAAAGGATCTAGGCCTATGTCCTCAAGAAAACATGGTTTTTCCTGATTTAACTGTATTTGAACAGATAGAATTTTTTGGCTTGGTAAGAATAACAATAACCTTCATGAAATAAAAGCAATTGTGTTAAATATATATTACGTTTTAATATCCAATTTTAATGTTATGACAGTTGAAAGCTAAGAACAGAACCAGAAAGGAAGTCAAGCAAGATGTTCATGCTTTACTTGCTAAGCTGAAGCTTTCTGAAAAGAAAGATTTTCTTCCAAGCAAATTATCTGGTGGTCAACAAAGAAGATTGTGCCTTGGAATGGCGCTCATTGGTGATGCTAGCGTAAGTTTTGATATAAGTATAAAATTCGCACTGTAATAACTTTAATCTCTTAAAACTAAATTTACGTTTAGATTATAATTCTGGATGAACCGACATCGGGAATGGACCCTGAAACTAGCCGAGACACATGGGATATAATATTAGTAAGCACAAATTTAATCTAAAATTTTTCAAATAATATCTTCAGATATGTGTATATGTTACAATATGTTGTACATTTTGCATAATTAATATTGTTCGACAGAAACTCAGAGGAGAGAAAACAATATTGATCACTACACATAATATGGAAGAGGCTGATATACTTGGTGACAGAATCGCAATAATACATTCAGGACGCCTTAAAAGTTATGGTACACCAATGTTCTTGAAAAAACAGTATGGTAAGATATCATATTGAACTTACTAATACTTAAATATACTTACTAATATTTAAATATGACACCTCATTAAATCGTATTTTACTAATCATAACTTTTTATTCTATTTTAGGTCATGGTCATATAGAAGTAACCTTATCAACAAAATCTTGGTGCGTTCCTGAAAACGTTATAAGTAAATTTGATTCGAGGACGCAACAACTTTGCATTGATACTGAAAAAATCATTTTAAATGTACCATATACTGATTCTCTGCCTCAATCACTGGATAAAGTAGAAAGTCAAAAGAAAGAATTAGGAGTTACTGGAATAAGCGTATCCTTAAGTACTTTGGAACAAGTTTTTTAAAGTATGTTTTCTGAAACTTAATTTAAATTATTATTATTTTATTGTTAATTACATATACTTTACTATTTGTCCTAGAATTGTGAAGAAAGAAGATAGTGGAAGACATCTTAATGAATTATTTACAGCACCATTAAGCAAACTTACAGGAAGTGCTTTATGTATGCAATCAATACTGGCACTATTTGCCAAGAAATTCACATATACAAAGAAAAATATAAGTACTTTACTGATGATTGTATGTATCTTTCCTCAATAGTTTCTTTATATCAAATATACTCTGCATTAAATTATTAATATTTCTCTTCACAATATATTGAAACTAGAATTTCTATCATTAATATCTTATTGTTTTATATTTTTAGATCGTTCTTTCTTTTTGTTGGTGTTTTTCATGGCCTTAAGTTACAATTTACCAAACGATTCCACAGATATTGTTCCATTAAATCTCGGCATGTACAGATATCCGAAAGTTATATATTCGTCAGACAATGAAATAATTGGTCAAAAATACGGAGATGTAATTCAGAAATTTGGTGAAGCAGAGCGTCTAGCGGACATTAGCGTTACAAATGGTAAAGTGTATCAAATAAACGATCTCGTATCAAATACTACAGTAAAATTATATTAAACAATAGTTTTATTAGTATTTTGGTTCTTACAGCTCTTCTGAATGTTTCTCTGCGGGATATCGCAGAATACCGTAACCACTTTATCGTATCTGCCGAATTTAATGCCACTGAAAACAGCACGATATCGGCTAACGGTTTTTATTCTGGCACAGCACTGCACGGTGTGCCGTTAATAATGAATTTGTTGAGTAATACTTTTATCAAAGCTTTTGCTGGTGATCAATACTCGATTGAGATATCTAGACAACAATTGCCGAATACATTAGATTCATCCAAACTAGAAGCGCCAGCACCGAAATCGCTCTTTCGCGTTATAATATTTTGTTCATTTTTCTTTTCCACTGTCGCGTTGTTCGTAGTGCATCCATTGCAGGAAACATCTACAAAAGTTAAGCAACTTCAACGTATGACTGGTGTTTCATCGCTATCGTACTGGGGCACAATGTTCATTTTTGATTTTGTAATATATACAATGTGCGTACTGTTGATTACCTTGGGATTCTACATTATGGATATTATTCTTGATCTTCGACTATATTATAAAACAGAAATATGTAAGTAATCTATATTAATTACATTAAAAATCTTAATTATAGTATTATATTTTTATCTCTTTTACATATTTTCACTTATATTTTTGCAGTATGTACGATATTAATTCTGATGTTGTTTGGCATTAATGTTTTACTTCTCGTTTACATATTTAGTTTTATGAATAAATCGAGAAATACAATAATAACTCTTTTGTCTATCGCACCTATTGGTCTTGGTAAGCTTCTTGCATATAATATTTGTTTTTGGAAGTATATGATCAAAAATCTTATATTGAATTAAATAATTATTAAAACATTCAACAGTATAAATATTATACAAGAAATAATTGAATTTATAAATGTTTCAGCTATAATAGAATTGCTCTTACGTGAAATAATACACAGTTTCGTCTGGCTGAACCCACCACTACACATTATGCAGAAAGTAATCTTTCGTCTAATTCCTTATATAAGTTTGTTCCATGGTGAGTTTTCTTTTTTCATGATAGCTGTACAGAATGCAAGATGTCGTCGTCTACCAAATAGTCTTCAGGATATAGTTTGTCTTATACCTGGTGATGTTTGTTGTGGTAAGATTGTGCAATTTATATATAAAATATAATTTAAACTTATTCTATTAGTTACAGAGAAAACTTATAATTTACTTCATCATTATTCTTTTCAGATATGGATTGTGCAGATGGAGTTTGCAAAGAACCACTACCTTATTTTAAAAATTTTAAAGGTGATGTGAATTTCGGAGAAAGTATAGTATATTTATCTGTAACACCAATTTTGTATTTTGCTATACTGATGATGCTCGAGAACAAAATATTTTCGAAGTTACTTACAAAGATGGTTGGTGCAAAACTAAAATGTAAACTAGAAAAAATGGACGTTCAAGTGAAGAAAGAGAAATTTGCAGTAGCGCAAGAAATCAATAAAATTAACAGTAAGTAAGATGTATATAATTATGAATATTTTTTTCAAAGTACGAAAAATTTTGAGTAATATTACATATGTAATTGAATTTATGTACAGATACAAACGCTACGACACTAGAGTATGAAACGGATACTACAGATCCAGCTAATAGTTTCGAATTAACGCCACTAAACGAAGATAATAGCCTCTTTTTAGTCTACGAATTAAGCAAATATTATGGAAAGTTAATGGCCGTGAAAGAGATCAGTTTTCGAGTAAAACCGCGAGAATGTTTCGGATTGCTTGGTGTAAATGGTGCCGGGAAGAGTACAACTTTCCGTATGCTAACCGGAGAAGAAATGTCTAACAGTGGCATAATGTACTTAGGGCAAGCAGAAATCCATTCAAACAGAAAGGAGGTAACAATAGTTCACACTTACTCTAATTTCTTTAGTACTACATTGTTTATTAAGGCTCCTGGTTCCTCGCTGATCATGTTGGAATTGTGACGTCAGAGGCGATAAAAGACATGCTAAAAATTCTTAGATGACATTACGAAATATTTTTAATAATAGCATTTAAGAATTTTTAGCGTATACTTTCTTGCCTTTGACATCACAATCTAACAAGGCCATGGCAGAGATACAGAAACATTAAAAATGCTAAAATTTATTTTTTGTAGTATCTTTCTGAAATGGGATACTGTCCACAAACCGATGCCTTAATACCTTCCTTGAACGTATTCGACCATTTACGATTGTTCGCTCGTCTTCGCGGCATACCAAGCTCTGATGTGGAACTGGAAGTTAACAAATGGATTAATAGATTAAGTGAGTTAAGTGCCATAATGTAGAATTTTTTAAGAAATATTCTACATAAAATAGTGTATATGACAACGTATGTATCTTTTCAGATTTAACTGCTTGCATGAAGCAACCAAGTGGTACTTATAGTGGTGGTAACAAGAGACGCTTAAACATTGCAATGGCTCTAATCGGTAATCCTAGTCTTGTTCTCCTGGATGAACCTACAACTGGTGTTGATCCTGCAGCTAGACGATCGCTGTGGAATACTTTACAAGCATATCAAGCAGCAGGACAAGCCATTATACTTACATCTCACAGGTATCTATTAGACTTGTTCAAATACCTGAAGTAAAATATATATTCACTGTTTACATCTGAATGAAATATTTTTTTTGTTCAATCCGACATGTGTGTTAAAACTATAATTTGTTCCACAGTATGGAAGAATGTGAAGCACTTTGCAATCGACTAGTTATTATGGTGAAGGGTGAATTAGTCTGTGTTGGTCCTAGTCAGGAATTAAAGCAACGATTTGGAGCTGGCTATGATATTCATATAAAATTAAATCCGGGCCGATCGGACGAGGATGTTAAAAATATTAAGATAATTATTGAATCTACTCTAACATGCGACATTAGAGATGATAATTTGGTAATGATTGTAGTCTGTTTTAAAGTATATCCACAATTTATTAACGAATTCTAAATTTTTTCTTTTTCCATCCATCTTGCAGGGTCTTCTCGCCTATCATGTGACTGATTGTGACACAACGTGGGAAAAAATGTATGATACAATGAAAGATCTTAAACAACGATATAGCTGCATTGAGGATTATGCTGTTTTGTCTGCAACTTTAGAGCAACTTTTCATTCAGTTTGCAAGAGGTATTGAAATGCCTAAAAAATCTTTAGTTTGTAGTACTAGTTACGAAGAAGTATAAATTCAGTGACATATTAGATGCTGATTTACTCAAATTAACAGGCTTATAATATATATATTAATTACATAGATGTCATAATAGATTAATTAAGGAGTGCAATTCCCCTTACATTTTACAATCCTCTAAATGTATTAATCTACCAAAATAATTTTGTGTAAACATATATGTATGTATAATTTAGTTTGTTAGTATAAGATAAAGGAGTGTTAGGATGCTGATTTACTCAAATAAACAGGCTTATAATATATATATTAATTACATAGATGTCATAATAGATTAATTAAGGAGTGCAATTCCCCTTACATTTTACAATCCTCTAAATGTATTAATCTACCAAAATAACAATTTTGTGTAAACATATATATGTATGTATAATTTAGTTTGTTAGTATAAAATAAAGGAGTGTTAGGATGCTGATTTACTCAAATAAACAGGCTTATAATATATATTTTAATTACATAGATGTCATAATAGATTAATTAAGGAGTGTAATTTCCCTTACATTTTAAAATCCTCTAAATGTATTAATCTACCAAAATAATTTTGTGTAAACATATATATGTATATATAATTTAGTTTGTTAGTATAAAATAAAGAAGTGTTAGAATTTAAAAGTTATAAAATTCTGTTTGTGATTATAAAAAAATAAAATTTTTTTATTTCAGCCTTACAACTTTTTATTATTCAAAGAATAACAATAAAAACATTACACACATTTACATACACTTGATGGTTATATACATGTATCTTAAAATCAATAATATCTCTAAAAGAAGTTAAACATGATGCACTTGATATACAAAAGCAAGAAAAAGAAGACGGGCCTTTCATGAATAAACGTACTTTATATAAATCCGTATACATAAGTCCAAAATGCTGTTTTCTATCGTCACAATCACTAATTCTCTGTTGTAGATTCTAGCAGAATTAAGGTTATGTAAACACCCTTGTGGTGTGTTATCATTTCTTCTGTACAAGAACCTGTGTTCGACTGGCGACTGGGAATTGTTGATCCTGTCTCTGGAATTTCCTGAACTAGAGGCTTTTATTTTTAAGATTTTAAATGTAATTAAAAAATTGATAGAACTTGACATTATATATGTAGCGATATTAAACATTTCTTTTTTACTAGATTTAAGGTTATATCATGCAATTTATATTGTATTTCAGATCGTTTTTAAAGGCATCTCAGTCTCTTTCGATATAATGTTACCTTCTTCGATGTTAAGTATCATAAGCAGGGAAATTTCCACGTCAGCCCCTGCAAATCAGATAATGAAATTAAGTCGATTGAGGGTGGTGGATAACAGCGAGATAGGAAAGAAAGCAATGGCAGAGGGTAGACCACCACGATGCATAAATGTCTATAACAAAGTTGGAGTTGGTTATATCGGTAAGACAGAAAAATAAAGTAAAATATACTTGTGAGAAATACTTTTTATACAGAAATTTATTTGAATGGATGGTGTAAATTGCTTACAGGAGATAGAATTTTAGTCGCTATAAGAGGAGAGAAGAAAAAAGGTATATTGGTTGGATTAAAGCAGACACAGGCACCTAAAGTTCCCAAATTTGACAGCAACAATTTGGTGCTCATCGATGACAATGGAACACCTTTAGGCACAAGAATACACGTTCCCATCCCACATATACTCAGAACAAAAATGAAGGAGAAAACTCATAGCAAAGGAGCGGATTATACCAAACTAATAGCAATTGCATCCAGATTTGTATAGCACATCTTGTGTACCATTTTATGTGTAATTAATTCAATAAAATGTTAATACTGTAGTTATTTAATATATTATGTAATTATTTAATATATCAAAATTTCTCGTAATATCTAAAAGTATATTAATTGTTTGGATCTTATATCTTACAGTTTGCCTAAACTGCTATTTTATAAAAAAGTATTGCTTTTTTCATTAATTTTAATTCTTATGAATATATTGAAATATTCTCTTATATATATTTGTTACATTGATTGTGAGTTTTGTAATATATATTGGAGTATATAAACCTTGGACAGTGAGGAATGACAATTCAGACAAAAGAATACATGATATATGTGTGACTGTATTATCAAACAATATATAGTATTGTAACCAAATATATTGATATCATATTTATTTTCAATTTTATTATCTGAATTGATAAATAAAATCACAACATTTCCTGGAAGCTGCATATCAACATATCATTTTTATTGCTAAATATTTCATGAGAAATATTGAGTGAGTAATATAAAGAGAAAGAAAGAGAGGAAGAGAGATCAACTAAAAAATTGACTAAAATATATATCTGTCTCTTTTTCATTATAATCTCGATTTTCTATAGGATAGTACAGAGAAGGCTCGCTTCAACAAACTATAGAACTCATTGACTATACTGGATGTAGTGTGTAGTTTCCCCTCTATACGCGTCACTTTATCGAACCCGCATAAAGTCAATTGTCAACCGACAGTCTAACGCTGACGTCGAACGCTGTCGCGTGTTAAATACCGTTATCAATAATGTATATTGTTATCGCGTTCTAACATATGTGAATATACGATTCACATTTCACGTAAAAAAATTCGGAATATGCGGTTATCTTATCGAGTTTGATAATGTGAAGATGAAACATTACATTATTAAGTCAAGTAACTTTATCGTGTCAGCTGTATGTGTTTCCGGAATATGTTTCTAATCAGATAAAGCAATATTTTTTGACGTAAGTAATCTGTCTATAATTATTTTGTTATCACTTTTTATATATTTATATAAAATATGTCGATGTCCGCGATATAGCCTCTTTTTCTTTGTATATTCTGAACAATATCGAATGATAATGTATCACAATCAGGAAATAAATATGTTTATGCGAATCTCAAGATTATTTTACGCACCAAGTGCGAATTTGACATTGATTTGAATATAATTGCATATTATTGCATCTGATTATACACATAAGCATATGCGATGTCGACACATTTTGAAATTTCTTAAATATATGTCAGGTAATGTCAAATAAAGAACCTGTTGTCCTTATTTGGAAGAATAGATTTTTGGAAAATTCGCATTTTCTTTAGACAATTTCTAATAGTTATTCAATATAATATTACTCTGTATTCAACCTTATACGGTTTAAAATATCTATTTGTGCTGTATATATTTTTATTATGTAATTAAGTTTTATCAAACATTTTATATTTGCAATATTAAGATTGCAAAATATTTATGGCTTGAATATTATGAAGTGTTTTATGCACATGTTACTATTGTGTAATGTATGTAAATTACTTGTTTAGGTGAAATTTGCTATAACAACACAAGAAGATACTACTTCCTATTTGAAAAAGAAAGAGAAAAAATCTTTTGATAAGAAATATGCTAAATTATATTGAAGGCTTTACTATTTTGATATAATTTTCATTTCAAGGTTATATATAACTCATTTATTATATAACACTTAAAGTTGAAGCCAACATTACGCATCAATTCTAATAAATTATTCAGAAGCCTTCGTGTAGTTTCAATGACAAGCAGTATATACACTATTTGGAGATTTGAGACTACAGTTTACTAATAATTTGTCGAAAATATTATAATTCAAATTTAAAACAAAAATGGCCAGTGGGTTGAAAATTTTAGGCTTGTTGCTATACAAGGACTTGATAGTACGCAAGAGACATTGGCGTATGATAATATTCTTACAAGCTCTTATACCTATTGGATTAGTTGCATTATTACAAGCTGTGAGAGATTTTAGTGCTAACCCACCAGTTATAATAAATGAAACCACATTTTATCCTATACAAACACAAGCAGATTTAATGGAAAAACTTGATAATGGTTTAAATAATGTATATTACCTGCCAAAAAATCCACATATAGATATGATCATGGAGTCTGCGAGACATTGTCTTGGACTTGTGTCAGAAAGTAAGTTGCTTAAAAAAATGCTATATTCTTAAAAAAAATATGATTATTTAATAAGATTTTTTTTGGTTAACAAAAATATTAATTTAATCAACTTTTTTTTACAGATATAAAATCTTTCTCTAATGAGACTGAAATGACAGATGATTATATGCGTTCTCAGGCGCGAAATCCGATACTTTCTGTTGTAGCAATTGTTTTTGAACAATATAATACAAGTACCATAAAATATAAAATTAGACATTCTTGGAAGATTCCATACGATTTATACCAAACGATATTAGGTGAACATATGAGTACATCACCTACAATGTACTTTGATATGATTCCAATTGTACAAGTTCAGATGTGTGTAGATAAAGCGCTTATAAATCAAGTAGCAGCAAATTCTATGTCGAATATAAAGGTATTATAAATTTTAGAAGAGCAATAAGTATATAAATAATATTAAGAAGCAATATATAAATTAAAAACTTAAAAGCGAAATGTATAAATACATTTTTATAAAATAATAATTTATTATAAATATTTTTATAAATTAATAATTTATTATTAAAATATATTTTGGTAAAACACAAATATTTATGCTGCTTATGCAGACATTAGATTATATACTATTGCTATATGTGACAATATTGCATGTTATCATTTTTTAATATACATATATTTTTCAGATGTCAATACAAAGAATGCCTTATCCACCACATGTCAAAATAGATACTGCTGATATTATACTACGTGAAGTAATTTGTAGATTTGTAGTTACAGCTTTTGTAATCATACTTTGCATAGAAGCTAACTATGCATCAAATGAGAAATTTATTGGTGTAAATGTTAGTACAAAGTTATTACATAGTGTTATTTTATTTTTTATGTGTGTAATTATTATGAGATATTATTTGTCTTACTGTTTTATGCAGGTTTTAATGGCAATGAATGGAGTTAAAATGGCCTACAATTTATTAAGCTGGTTAATCACAGGAATATTATTCAGCATTATTTATACAGTACCAATAATCATATTATTTAAAAATACTTTTTCTACAAATGTTGAAGCTTATTTGCAATATGGAAATGCTTTTATATTTTGGCTCGTATTTACTGCACACATTGGTCATCTTATAACATTTGGCATGCATATTGCAGCTTACTTTTCAAAACGTAAATAACTATTCTTCTATCTTTGTAAAATAAATAACATTTTTTGAGATATATTAATTGATGATATCTTTTACAGCACGTTTTGTGACAATTGCTTTATGTATCATATATACGGCAGCATTGTCGTTCCATCAACATTTGTGGATGGCTGAAGCTTTTGGAATTATACCATATTTTGGTATAATCTTTCCAAATATTCTGCTATTTAGATTTCTTCAAGAAACAAATGCACATGAAGGCAAATGTAATAACTTCCATTTATTTGTATCTATTAGCTATATAACTAATTTATTAAAGAAAGTTTAGTAAATTACACTGTACACTATACATATATATTGTAAATAAGAAATTTCTTTTATTTTAGTAATCGGTATGCAATGGGACAATATTTTTGTTCCTGGGAATGAGGAATATAGTATTGTAGGAAGTATAGGCTTCATATTCCTCTTCTCAGTCTTCGGTGCTGTGATACATTTTACACTTGCGATTTATATAAATGCCATACTTCCTGGTAAATATGGAGTTCGAAAGGATCCATTGTATTTTTTGAAGGCAAGTTTATATATAAAGATTATAGAATGGAAACAATATTACTTGTGGGACATAATAATTTTATATGATCATATTTTACAGTGTATGAAGAAAAATAAAATATCTCTGGAAGAAGAAATTGTTGAGTTTGATTATGATAAGGAAGCTAATCAAGACTTCGAACCAGTATTAAGTGGTACACTTCAACCTGGAATCCAAATACGTAATCTTAAGAAATCTTATATAACAAGCTGGCTACGAAAATCTGTAAGCATATATCAAAAGATAAATATTTGATTTCTGTGTAATGCATTTAATTAATATTAAATTACTACATTTTAGCAAGTTCATGCACTGAAAGGAATTTCTGTGGACTTTTACAAAGGACAAATTACTGCTTTACTTGGACATAATGGAGCAGGCAAAACCACACTTATGTCTATATTAACAGGTAGATTGCATCACAAAATAATTTTTAACGTGAGAATGTTATTTTATGAAAGAACTCATATTTATTTTCGAATAGGTGTAACGAGTGAGACAGAAGGAAAAGTACTCATAAACGGCAAAAATATAAGAAAACATCTCCACAGTATTAGAAAGGATCTAGGCCTATGTCCTCAAGAAAACATGGTTTTTCCTGATTTAAATGTATATGAACAGATAGAATTTTTTGGCTTGGTAAGAAAACAATAACCTTCATGAAATAAAAGCAATTATGCTAAATATATATTAATGTGTTAAATATATATTACGTTTTAATATCCAATTTTAATGTTATGACAGTTGAAAGCTAAGAACAGAACCAGAAAGGAAGTCAAGCAAGATGTTTATACTTTACTTGATAAGCTGAAGCTTCTTGAAAAAAAGATTTTCTTCCAAGCAAATTATCTGGTGGTCAACAAAGAAGATTGTGCCTCGGAATGGCGCTCATTGGTGATGCTAGCGTAAGTTTGGATATAAAATTTGCACTGTATTATTTTAATCTCTTAAAAATGAATTTAATTAAAAATTAATTTAGATTATAATTCTGGATGAGCCGACTTCGGGAATGGATCCTGAAACTAGACGAGACACATGGGACATAATATTAGTAAGTACAAATTTTATCTGAATTTTTTCCAATAACATCTTTAGATATGTATGTATGTTGTACATTTTGCTTCATTAATATTTTTTTGCAGAAACTGAGAGGCGAGAAAACAATATTGATTAGTACACATAATATGGAAGAGGCTGATATACTTGGTGATAGAATCGCAATAGTACATTCAGGTCGCCTTAAAAGTTATGGCACGGCAATGTTTTTGAAAAAACAATATGGTAAGATATTATATTGGGCTTTACTAATATTTAAATATTAATAATATATAAATATACTTTCTAATATTTAAATATACTTACTAATATTTAAATATGACACATAATTAAATCGTATTTTGTTAATCATTACTTTTTATTCTATTTTAGGTCATGGTCATATAGAAGTAACCTTATCAACAAAATCTTGGTGCGTTCCTGAAAAAGTTATAAGTAAATTTGATTCGAGGACGCAACAACTTTGCGTTGATACTGAAAAAATCATTTTAAATGTACCATATACTGATTCTTTGCCTCAATCACTGGATAAAGTAGAAAGTCAAAAGAAAGAATTAGGAGTTACTGGAATAAGCGTATCCTTAATTACTTTGGAACAAGTTTTTTTAAAGTATGTTTTCTGAAACTTAATTTAAATTATTATTATTTTATTGTTAATTACATATACTTTACTATTTGTCCTAGAATTGTGAAGAAAGAAGATAGTGGAAGACATCTTAATGAATTATTTACAGCGCCATTAGGCAAACTTACAGGGAGTGCTCTATGTATGCAATCAATACTGGCACTATTTGCCAAGAAATTCACATATACAAGGAAAAATATAAGTACTTTACTGATGATTGTATGTATCTTTCCTCAATAGTTTCTTTATATCAAATATACTCTGCATTAAATTATTAATATTTCTCTTCACAATACATTGAAACTAGAATTTCTATCATCAATATCTTATTGTTTTATATTTTCAGATCGTTTTTTCTATGTTATCGGTATTTTTCATGGCCTTAAGTTACAATTTACCAAACGATTCCACAGATATTGTTCCATTAAATCTCGGCATGTACAGATATCCGAAAGTTATATATTCGTCAGACAATGAAATAATTGGTCAAAAATACGGAGATATAATTCAGAAATTTGGTGAAGCAGAGCGTCTAGCGGACATTAGCGTTACAAATGGTAAAGTGTATCAAATAAACGATCTCGTATCAAATACTACAGTAAAATTATATTAAACAATAGTTTTATTAGTATTTTGGTTCTTACAGCTCTTCTGAATGTTTCTCTGCGGGATATCGCAGAATACCGTAACCACTTTATCGTATCTGCCGAATTTAATGCCACTGAAAACAGCACGATATCGGCTAACGGTTTTTATTCTGGCACAGCACTGCACGGTGTGCCGTTAATAATGAATTTGTTGAGTAATACTTTCATCAAAGCTTTTGCTGGTGATCAATACTCGATTGAGATATCTAGACAACAATTGCCGAATACATTAGTTTCATCCAGACTAGAAGTGCCAGAAGCGGAATCGCTCCCTCGCGTTTTAATATTTTGTTCATTTTTCTTTCCTACTGTCGCGTTGTTCGTAGTGCATCCACTGCAGGAAACATCTACGAAAGTTAAGCAACTTCAACGTATGACTGGTGTTTCATCGCTATCGTACTGGGGCACAATGTTCATTTTTGATTTTGTAATATATACAATGTGCGTACTGTTGATTACCTTGGCATTCTACATTATGGATATTATTCTTGATCTTCGACTATATTATAAAACAGAAATATGTGAGTAATTTTATATTAATTACATTAAAAATCTTAATTATAGTATTATATTTTTATCTCTTTTACATATTTTCACTTATATTCTTACAGTATGTACGATATTAATTCTAATGTTGTTTGGCATTAATGTTTTACTTCTCGTCTACATATTTAGTTTTATGAATAAATCGAGAAGTACAATAATAACTCTTTTGGCTATCGCACCTATTGGTCTTGGTAAGCTTATTGCATATAATATTTGTCTTTGGAAGTATATGATCAAAAAAATCTTATATTGAATTAAATAATTATTAAAACATTCAACACTATAAATGTTTCAGCTATAATACAATATCTCTTACATGAAGTAATACACAGTTTCGACTGGCTTAACCCACTGCACATTATGCAGAAAGCAATCTTCCGTCTAATTCCTTATATAAGTTTGTTCCATGGTGAGTTTTCTTTTTTCATCATAGCTGTACAGAATGCAAGATGTCGTCGTCTACCAAATAGTCTTCAGGATATAGTTTGTCTTATACCTGGTGATGTTTGTTGTGGTAAGATTGTGCAATTTGTATATAAAATGTAATTTAAACTTACTCTATTAGTTACATAAAAAACTTATAAAATTACTTCATCATTATTCTTTTCAGGTATGGATTGTGCAGATGGAGTTTGCAAAAAACCACTGCCTTATTTTAAAGATTTTAAGGATGATGTGAATTTTGAAGAAAGTATAGTATATTTATCTGTAACACCAATTTTGTATTTTGCTATACTGATGATGCTCGAGAAAAAAATATTTTCGAAATTACTGACAAAGATGATTGGTACAAAATTAAAATGTGAACAAGAAAAAATGGACGACCAAGTAAAGAAAGAGAAACTTGCAGTAGCGCTGGAAATCAATAAAATTAACAGTCAAAGTAAGATGTATATATATATGAATATTTTTAAAAAAATACGAAATTTTGGAGTAATATTAAATATATAATTGGATTTATGTACAGCAAACGTTACGAAACAAGAGTATAAAACAGATACTACAGATCCAGCTAATAATTCCGAATTAATTCAAAGTCCAGTAAACGAAGATAATAGTCTCTTTTGTGTGTACGAATTAAGCAAATATTATGGAAAGTTAATGGCCGTGAAAGAAATCAGTTTTCGAGTGAAACAGCGAGAATGTTTCGGATTGCTTGGCGTAAATGGTGCCGGAAAGAGTACAACTTTCCGGATGCTAACCGGAGAAGAAATGTCTGACAGTGGCATAATGTACTTAGGACGAGCAGAAATCCATTCAAACAGGAAGAAGGTTAACAATAGTTTACACTTTAATTTCTTTAGCACTACATTGTTTATTGAGGCTCGTGATTCTTCGCTGATCATGTTGGAATTCTGACGTCAGAGGCGAGAGAACACACGCTAGAAATTCTAATATGCCATTACTAAATATCTTGTAAAAAAAGAAATTTAAGAATTTTTAGCGTATGCTTATTTGTCTCTGACATAATCTAACATGCGTGGCGAGGATCCAGAAACTTTAAAAATACTAAAATTTTTTTTCCTGTAGTATCTTTCTGAAATGGGATACTGCCCACAAACCGATGCTTTAATACCCTCTTTGAACGCATTCGACCATTTACGATTGTTCGCTCGTCTTCGCGGCATACCAAGCTCTAACGTGGAATTGGAAGTTAACAAATGGATTAATAGATTAAGTGAGTCAAGTGTCATAATGTATAATTTTAAAAAGCATTCTACATAAAGTAGTATTTATGACAACATATGTATCTTTTCAGATTTAACTGCTTGCATGACGCAACCAAGTGGTACTTACAGCGGTGGTAACAAGAGACGCTTAAACATTGCGATGGCTTTAATCGGTAATCCTACTCTTGTTCTCCTGGATGAACCTACAACTGGTGTCGATCCTGCGGCTAGACGATCGCTATGGAATACTTTACAAGCGTGTCAAGCAGCAGGACAAGCCATTATACTTACATCTCACAGGTATCTATTAGACTTGTTCAAATACCTGAAGTAAAATAAGTATTCGCTGTTTACCTCTGAATAAATATTTATTTTTATTAAATTCGACATGTTAAAACTATAAATTGTTCCACAGTATGGAAGAATGTGAAGCACTTTGCAATCGACTAGTTATTATGGTGAAGGGTGAATTAGTCTGTGTTGGTCCTAGTCAGGAATTAAAGCAACGATTTGGAGCTGGCTATGATATTCATATAAAATTAAATCCGGGCCGATTGGACGAGGATGTTGAAAATATTAAGATAACTATTGAATCTACTCTAACATGCGACATTAGAGATGATAATTTGGTAATGATTGTAGTCTGCTTAAAAGTATATCCACACAATTTATTAACAAATTCTAAATTTTTTCTTTTTCCGTCCATCTTGCAGGGTCTTCTCGCCTATCATGTGACTGATTGTGACACAACGTGGGAAAAAATGTATGATACAATGAAGGATCTTAAACAACGATATAGCTGCATTGAGGATTATGCTGTTTTGTCTGCAACTTTAGAGCAACTTTTCATTCAGTTTGCAAGAGGTATTGAAATGCCTAGGGAATCTTCAGCTTGTATTACTAGTCATGAAGAAGTATAAATTCAATATGACGTATTAGATGCTAATTTACCTAAGTCACAAATTTAATTAAATAAACAGACTGATAACATATATTAATTACGTTATAAGTCAGTTTATGTTAAAATATAATTAATTACGTAATAATTTCATTTTATGAGATAGTTATTACTGCAAGAGTTATTTGAATTGCAGCAATTGAGTAATTACCGTATACTTTGTTTAAATTGCATAACAATGAAATAATTACAAAGATAAAATATTGCACTTTTATTACAAGAAAAAATATGTTTTGTGTGTTATCGGTTATTTTTAATGATATGACTAATTCTTATTATTTTGAAAATCAATACGCGCGAAAAAGGACACTCTTTGTTTCGTACTTTTTGCGCTCTCTCTCCTTTCTGTGCATAGCAAATCTTTTTCTGCGTGTACCTTATCTCCATTCCTTAAAAGGCAAACGCTCGATTTATACTATGTCTAAATTTATACTATATTTATATATGATAAAAACTATTATTAATGAAAATGTACATTACACATTATATATCTTAGTCCACGATTAGAAAATAAGTATTATAGATGTATAATAGATTTATTAAGGTGTGCAATTCTCTTACATTTTACAATCCTGTAAAAGTATTAAATTACCAAAATAATTTTTTATATATATATATATATATATATATATATATATGTATGTATGTATATTATGTATATAATTTGATTTGTTAGTAAAAAATGAGTTTTAGAATTTGAAGATTATAAAATTTTGTTTGTGAATATAAAAATAAATATATTTTTTTGATATTTCAGTGTTTCAATACACCTTTTATTTATTCAAAGAATAACATTACACACACTTGATTTAAGAGATATATATATATATATATATATATATATATATATATATATCTTAAAATCAATATAATATCCATAAAAGAAGTTAAACACGATGCACTTAATATACAAAAGCAATTAAAAAAAAGAAAAAGAAGGCAAGTTTTTCATGAATAAAATACACACATACTTTATATAAATAAAAGGATCTATATATGATATATTGTTATGTACATAAGTTCAAAACGATATAATATGAAGTTTGTGTCTGCGTATGATATATACGTCGATGATTCGCTGTCTAATATTGGTATCCACCGGCTGAACTTGTCTGATACGAGTTCAATCCCTGATAAGCGTCACTTCCGTGGCCACCATGACTGCCTCCTACGACACAGGAATAAATTTTTAAATAGTAAATCGTAATGTGACAACATTAATATGTACAAATTACGCAATTTGGTACGATTATTTAAATTTGATATTATTCGTTCACCTCCGCTAGAATATCCACCCTCTCCGTGCGAATATCCTCCACCACCACCGTCCTGATTCTCTCCCCTGGCTTCGGCGGCAAGCGCCAGTTCAACGCCTCGTTGAATTTCCGGGGGAATTGGAGGCGGTGTCGGCAAATGGGCACCTTGAGGATGGAAGCCATTTTCGTCTGCCGTATATGTGACGGAATATTGCACACCATCGGGTCCGGTATAAGAAAAGGATCCGCTCACTGCTTCGGATTCTCCTACAACATCAATGACACACACTCAGCTTTGTTGCGTTGCGTTACGATACCTTCACGAATTTTCTCTCTAGGGGCGATAGAGGATTTAAAAAAAATAAAATTTAAATAAATTTATTAGAGGGTATGATTCAAGACTCGTTCATTTGGTGGTCAAGTGCGATTAACATTTTAGTAATTTAATCGAGAAATAAATTTTTTACCTTGTTGATGACCCGTTTCTTGCACGGTGATACCATTTCCGGTTTCATAACTAAACTCATAATTTCCGTCGCCAGCGTTCTCATTACTATATGAAAGGATGGGTATTTTCTGATCACCATGCCCATCATCAGCCAATCTGCCACCTGAGATACAAAATTAAAAGTTAATAAGAGTGAAATAAACATAAATCATTAATTCTTATCAAAAATACTTCGTTATCTTGTCCTCCTTGAAAAAAACAATGCTATGAAATATTCATAAAAAGATTTAATTAATATATGAATTTTAATCACAAAATAATCACAGTTTCAAAGAGACAGAAAATTATGTTTAAAAGATAATATATAATTACATTTTTTTAAATTTTTGCTCAGACTTACCTTGATAAATGCCGCTATCACCGCTGGGACCGAATCCACTTGGTCCACCATGACTATCTGGACCACCATGGCCACCTGGACCACCTAAATCACCTGAACCACTAAGTGGGCTACTCAGTTTAATGGGACCACCTCCACCAGGTCCTGGAGGATGAATCAATCCTGGTCCACCCGCACTTCCAGCGCTACCGGGCGGAAGATAAATATTATCCAACCGTGCGGCGTGGCATATCCCGACGATGATTAACAACGCGATGGCGACTTGCTAAAACAATTTCAGTTCACGTTAAATTCTGGGAAAACAAGTGTTTGAGATAAGAAGGAAGTATAGATTAGAAAAGAGAAGAAAGCAATGTAAAAAAGTTTCATTTTTTGTTAAATACACTAAATTCCACACGCGAAGCGGAAATCACGCGGCTTGAAGACGAGATATTCGAGTACGATAAATCGTTCCGTTTAATTGCCGCGAAGTAAGATTTCCCGGATCCATATGAAATATTGGAAGATCTGCCATCTCTCGTACCGATCCCATTTCGCTCGTCGACCGAATTCCAGCGATGTTATACACTGCAGCGACACCCAAAACTGTGCAAGTATCGTCAAACCGACGATGATAATTGATCTGCGCAGATCCAGGTCGAATTCAACATGCTTATATACCGATCCCGCGCGAGGATCGTCTTCCTCCCACCAGTTGATGAGAAACTACGCGCGTGGATGGCATCGGATGGTTAGAGATCACCCGATGATGTGTTCCTCGAAGATTCATTTGTGATCCTCGTCCCGCGAAGATGCCGCCTGGAAGAAGAAAAAGAAGAGAGAAAAATAAATCCCAGAATATCCGAATAAAGAGAGACGCGCACGATGAGGGGGACCATCAAGGGGCGAGAAAGGAGGCCTCCGTCGCAAGATGAACCTGTCAAGTAATGAGGGGTGGTTGCGCAATGTCAAGTGATATAGATCGGCAAACATCTCGGAACGGACCTGAAGGTCGACACTAGAGTCGAGGCATGAAAGTGAAGCGATAGGATTCAGATAATGACGTCTAAAAGTGAAACGATATCGCTCAAGATGTTCATGAGATTTCTCACTATCTCATTTTAAGAAATTATCAAGTATATACTAGTACTATTATAAAAATAATTATCTAACAGCTTTTTCATGATAAAATCTATGGTCTAATTATAATAGCATATCGAGAACCTCTTAGTGTCTTTCTTTAAATAGTACGAATTTATCTGGTCCATTTGCGAAACGATGGAAAAGCGTAGAAAAACAAGCCAAACCGATGACGTAGCCAGTCACGCATTCTCTCTTGTAATTATATCGGCTCTTTCGACGCGAGAATTATACCCGAATGCCGCGGGATCGTCATCGCCGTCGTCGAGCGATAGAGCGTGTCTCTATGGAGAACAACTTAGAACGCAGACTTCGCGCAATCGAGCTCGTTGCGCAATCGTTGTGCGTTGAACAACTTCGGAGTGACCGTCCGATACGTGCGTATACGCTAGGTCACGAACTCTGAATATCTGAGCAACCTGAATATTCCCGGCTGATCTACCGCGGCTGATATATGATGCAAAGTTTATTATTTTTGCTCCTTCCAGCGACAGAGTTATTAATGGAAGCTATTATCTTGTCAAAAGAGTTTTGCGCGCACGTTTTTATCTGAGTATTCGACTAATTGAACGATCGAAAAGTTTAGATCCGATTACTCGAAGATTTGATTATTATTGATTACATAAAATGAATTACAAAAGGCTAATCCGCGAAATCGCCCACGGATTCGAAGATTTACATCCGCGATCGATCAAATGTTACGCGTTTATATAGTTGCAGCTTCAATATCGTATAAACGTATTCATTAAAAAAAAAAAAAAAAAATCCGCCGCACGTAAATACGTAAGCAATAGCGAATGCGCTCATCGGATTGCCGATTGACACATAACTCGTCGATTAACGATCCAGCTTACGGTCAGCGTACTCACGTTTAGCCGTAAATGAAGCGATGATCGCGTCCAGATAGGCGTCGCGTTCACCATACAACGGAGAGAAAGACGCGCGTCTCGATTTGAGATGGAACTTGGCCGAACTTTGGATCCATATTTAGAAATCGTAGCCGATAATGTTGTTTTGATGTTATACACATCTCGAACGAATTCGATGTACAAATAAGGAACGGAAGAAATAGACGAAGAAAAGTCACGAGACGGCATTCGCACGGCGAAGCACCCTCTTCTGTATATAGCGCCACAATTCTCGAGGTTAAAATAAACATGTTTTGCAGATCGGATGCGAGAATGCGGCCAAGATAAAAAAATCCTGAGCAATCGTGAGCTACGAGTTTGATAATAGGATACGACGACCGTGTCGGGGCATCGTGTATTCTACTTCACGAAGCATTGAAGTCACCGATATTCTTGGAGAGACCCGACCCTCTTAACATCCGCTATCCGTACATCCATCCATCTTGCTGCTCGTGTTATGCCAGAGGTGAGGTCCATCGGCGCGAGAACTCTCAGAACTAATCCGATGTAAATCTCCAAGTGTCTCTTTGAACTCTTATGTATTTGTTCATACCCATCGGCGTCGAAAAATAATTGGAAGGAAGCGATTCCTCGATCATCCTTCACGATTGAGAGCAAAACTAGCCTTCGATATTGTACAAAATCCCCGCGATTAGCTGTGCCTCCTTAAATCAGGTAATCTGAAAAAGAAAAATTATTTGTTTTTAAAATTATTTAACATTATTTTATTACCCAAACGTATATTTAATAGTCGATTCATCTAGTTATGTCGTTGCTATAATTAATAAATATATTAGACGGCGCGTCGTACTCGGCCATCAGGTTTCGACGACATATTGCGGAAGTAGTACAGCGCGAGATTCGTTATTGATGAGCGACATGTAATAAAGAGATTGTGCAAAACCAGGAGCTCTCCTCCAACGCTCTCCTTCTTACGACCTCGCGCACCATTTCGAAAGAATAGGTGCCTGCGTCGGAGGTCGATGGAAGGAAAAAAAGCTGTGGTCTCTCCTCGACGGGTTCTCTTACGTGTCGCGGTTTTGACGCAACTCCGTGACGGTGCAAAAAAAAGAAGAAGAGCAGTAATCGCGAAGATTTCTGCGTCTCGCAGGCCGATAGGGTGACAAGAGGCAAGTGCGATCGTTTTACGTTTTATTGCGTTTCGTTCCAGTGATTGATCTGATGTCAGAAATGCAGAGGTGGCACGTTAAAGTTCATCCATTCCGATTATTAAATTAAAAAGATTCCGTCTTCTTATATAAATGCTGAAACATTGTTTTATATTATTTAAATATTATGATTATATAATGTTATATATTATTATATTATATTATTTAATATTTATATATATATATATATCATCTTATTGCTTAGTGCCTATTGACTAGTTATTCCATCAATACTATACATTCTCTCTTGATTTAATTAATAATTTAATTAATAATTTTCTAACAAATTTTTGCTATATCAATATATAGGAAAAATATATTTATATATATAATATATTGATTATATAAATATTTTAAAGAGAAATTACAAATTTTATTAATTGAAGTTTCTAACGTCATCGAAAATCGATGTTCGCTAATAAATTTAGAATGAATATGAATGATTGTTTAGATAAAAGTCGACGTGTGAGAATCGATTTCTTAGACATGTTTGCTAAACTTAATTACGTACCAATCTATGCTAGCTTTAATCGTGTTGGGAATGAAAGGAAAATACATATAAGACAGCATTACGTCATCTCGCTCAATTCAACGCCTCGATGTTTTTCGTCAGACGCATAATTGGGATGCTTTGTTAATTTCCCTTTAACTTTATAACTGCATTCCATTTACGGATAACTGCCTCTGTGCATCTGTTACTTCATTTTCATATCTCTCCTCGATTGGGATCGCTATAAAATAGAACGGCATTATTTTATTGCCGGCTAGTATCTTCCCACGATCATCTCTTCTCTCGACATGTAACTTTCTACAGTACATGATGAATGCTTTTTGCGGTGAAGATCGATATATTTTAGATCTATCCAGATATTATTTTCATCTTAAGATCCCTCGACGATATTTCTTCCTATTATCTGCGACTATTCACGCGAGATGCGCTTACGCAGAAGATACCTGTATGCATTAACAAACGCGTTTCGACGTGCAGAAAAAAATTGCAGTTTGCTTCTGCAACTGCGACTGACGTAATCGTTCGCGTGTCGTTCGCCTCATAGGAATTTGAAAATGTGTCGCGCGGAATTTCGATCGACGATCTCGATATCGTCATGTCGTCTATCAATCGAGGGAGAAAAAGAGAGAGAGAGAAAGCGATCCTCTTACAACGATGAGCCTCTCTCGTTGGCGAGTCGAGTGAATGGGTGCTTCGGTAGCCGAGATGAGCCGAGCAGAAGAAAATATAGATCACCTGGTGAGCCTAGTTGCATAATATAACTAAGGCGCGTCGCTCTCGAATCGTTACACGAGGAGACATATGCAGCTCGTCATCGTTGACCTTTGGGAAGCGCATGTAAATGCATCCAACGAGGGGTGCAGCTGTCGCAGTACCGGGTCCTATGATGCAGGCTCGAGAAATCTGATGATGACAATTGTTGACGAACGTGATCCGATTTCGCGTCAAGGATTCGACATCAGGTTTGCCTTGAGCGCGAATATAAGAGGAAGTGGCTCAACGAGCCGATCGCCCGGGGATCCAGGGAAGATGGATCACTGATCGCCGCTGAACTCTCCCGCAGAGGGGTGAATCCTTTCGCCGACAACTTTCGGACGGTGCTTAGACGCCTAGGGCGATTTCTCGAAGCGAAGAAATCGTAACAGTTCGGGCGAAGAGCACTTATATTGCCGCGTGTTCCTTTTCCAAGAATGATGTAATCCGCATATATTATTATAAATGACGCTTGATTGAAGGATTTTTCTTTCTTTCTCTCTCTCTCTCTCTCTCATTCTGCCGGAATTCTGTCAATAACAAATCCAAATATAATGATTCATTTTATTCGCCGGAGCAAACGTATTGTGCATGTTCGCACCATATATAAACAGAGCAACCTTGTATCCGTTAGTCAAGTAATTAGCACGATTGCGGAACATTTCCGATGAAAATAACGGCAAAGTCGAAGATGTTACTTACAAGGCGAGCGTCGACAATTGTCAATTGCTTTTTAAGTACACGGAGCACGTACACAGCTTCAAATTCTCTTCAGAGATAGTGCCATAGAAAGGGACAGTCGATTAATCACGCCTTAAGCCACACAGAGAAATTATATTATATTGACGTGCACGCGATGCTGTAATCGCAGCGACGACTAATTAACTATTCGTGCCGCAGATATCCCCGTCAATATAGAACTTTCGCCATCTAATCATTAGCAAATGGTTCGAAGAAGACTTTATTGTTTTTTAAACCGGTTTCTGATCGATCTGAAAAATCAATATACTAAATAGAAACATAACAGACAAGCGAAGAAATGACAAATATATTCTATCGCTCAACTAACCTAATTATAATCAACATGTGATCGTTTCTCTGTCGTTGTTAGAAGTCAAATTAAACGATTCAGATTCAGTGTTTCGATTCATACTAAATTAAAAAAATATATTAATATATCTCTATATACGTGTCGGATAATTATATCTCATTGTAAGTAAAATACACTCTTGTATCCCGCGACACGACCTGTCAAAATTCAAACATCTCTAGGTGACAGCACTGACGCGTTGTAGCATTCATCATCCACACCTTTCATTTACACTCTACACTTTTATTACACCTTACACTTTTCACTGCACTTTTACACTTTTTACATCTTTATACATTTGTAATAACTTCAATTCATTAATATACATAATGTTTTTAAGAAAAATCAATATTTCCATAACAACACATTCATTCATTTATTTGTTACATATTAATTCTTTTTGTTCTTTCGCTTTATACTTTCAATGAATAAACATTACTTTTTCAAAGATCTGGTGAATTTATTTATAAGTCGCTACATTTTTGGTGACCCCGACGTGATATTAAAGCCGACGTGATATTAAAGCCGACGTGATATTAAAGCCGACGCATTTTAAAGGCTGATGCGGAATAAGTGCCAAGTGATCGTCGTATTTGAAGTCTGCGAAATATTATCATCGCTTGGAAGAATTGCTGGATATTCTGATTTTAAGAGATTCATTCTCCGGATCTTTGAAACATCAGAGGCGGATTAGTCCTTCACGGAAATTCTCAAATCATTTTATCGGATTCCTGGAACAAGAGGAAAATGCCAATCGATAGATCACCAGTTAGACCCTGTTCGGATACACAGATTGATATGGATTTGGCGAGCGGATCAAATCAGGTTGGATCAGAAAATATTAATATTTTACCTTCTCAAACTGGACATCAGGTGAGTGATCCTATGTTACAAATTCACTCAAATGAGTTTCGTTTATTAAAACTACCGACTTTCTGGCATAAACAACCTAAACTCTGGTTTGCTTCTATTGAAAGTGAGTTTACGGTTTATCGAATTCGATCAGATGATATTAAATATAGTTCTGTCATTCGTCATCTTGATGAACAAGCCTTAGTAAACATATCTGAAGTCATTGAAAATCCACCTGAAACAGATAAATATAATTATTTAAAGAAAATATTAATAAATCGCTTTACGGATTCAGAGGAAAAACGTTTGAGACAAATATTAGCTGGAATTGAACTTAATGATAAAAAGCCTTCGGAATTACTTCGAGAAATTCGTCATTTGTCTGGAGGATCTTTAGCAGATAGTGTTTTGCAAATGATTTGGCTTCAACGCTTACCACATAGAATTCAAACGACTTTAGCCGTAGTAGAGGATGTTCCTCTTGTTAAACTTGCGGAATTAGCCGATAAAATTGCTGATCGGGACGGCGGTTTGCAAGTCGCGGAAGTTTCCAATAATACAAGTAATAAATCTTCGGATTTCGCGGATTTGCTACGAAGAATCGAAGCTCTTGAAGTTTCTCGTCGTCGAGATCGTTCCAAAAGCCGGTCTAGAGAGAATAGAAGATTTAGATCGTTATCGCGTAACAAAGACAAATCAAATAAAGATATTAAAGATACATCAATTTGTTTTTACCATAAGAAGTTTGGTGATAAGGCTAAACGATGTACTTTACCTTGTTCTATGTCCAAAACATTCTTGGCTTCACAGGAAAACTAAAAACGCCGCTTAAGACTGAGGCTGCTTACGACGGTGTTTCTAACAATCGCCTCATTATTTTCGACAGACATTCAAATTTGAATTTTCTTGTCGATACGGGCGCTGATATATCGTTGTTACCTAAAAAGGTTTTATTGAAGCCGTGGCATACTAATTTAAAACTTTTTGCCGCAAATGGTACTCAAATTAATACTTACGGTTCTAAAACTTTAATTTTGAACCTCGGTTTAAGGAGAGAATTCAAATGGAAATTTTGTGTCGCGGATATTCAACGTCCTATTTTAGGCGCCGATTTCCTTTGTCATTTTAATCTCCTAATTGACATTAAAAACAAGAAATTGATTGATAATGTTACCGGTCTTATGAATACTGGAAAAATTCAAGAAGTTGCACATTTGTCAATTTTTACCACATCTCCTGATTCTGTGTACCACAAATTTTTAACCGAATTTCCAGGACTCACCCGTTTTTCTCCAATTTCCTCGGTAAAAACACATGGTGTTGAACATCATATCGTTACGGAAGGTTCTCCTAAATTTTCGACTCCCAGAAGACTTACTCCTGAGAAACTTAAATGTGCCAAGGAAGAATTCAAGTCTATGATGGAGCAAGGAATTTGCAGGCCTTCAAGCAGCTCCTGGGCAGCCCCTCTACATATGGTACCTAAAAAGGAACAAAATTCTTGGAGACTGTGTGGTGATTATCGTGCACTCAATTCAGTGACTATCCCGGATCGTTATCCCTTACCTCATATTCAAGATTTTTCTTCTTCACTTTTTGGTAAGAATATCTTTTCTAAAATCGACTTAGTTAAAGCGTACTATCAAGTACCCGTCGCTAAAGAAGATATTCACAAAACAGCTGTCACTACTCCATTTGGGCTTTTTGAATTTGTCGTAATGCCTTTCGGTTTACGAAACGCAGCCCAAACTTTTCAACGGCTCATGAACTCTTTACTTAATGATTTGAGTTTTGCCTTTTGTTATCTTGATGACATTCTTATTGCTTCTAAAGATGAGAAAGAACATATTGCTCACTTACGCATTATTTTTGATCGTCTTCAACAAGCTGGAATGACAATCAATGTCGCTAAATGTCTTTTCGGTCAAAGCGAGATTTCTTTTCTTGGTTACTTAGTTTCTAACCAAGGAGTTAAACCTACATCCGAAAAAGTGAAATCAATTATTGATTATCCTAAACCTAAGACACTTCATGAATTACGCAGATTCTTAGGAATTATCAATTATTATCGTCGCTGTCTCAAGGATGCTGCAAATCATCAAGCTCTGTTAACAGAATATTTAAAGGACAGTCGCAAGAGGGATAGAAGAATTATTTCTTGGACTAAAGAAGCGGAATTAGCTTTCGAGTCATGTAAAGAAGAACTTTTACAAGTTACTACCCTTTCTCATCCTGCTCCTCATGCTCCTCTTATTTTAACTTGTGATGCTTCTGACTTTGCTGTTGGTGCATCACTTGAACAGTCTATTGACGACGATATCAAACCAATAGCATTTTTCTCAAAGAAACTAGACAAAGCTCAAAGAAATTATAGCACTTATGATAGAGAACTTCTTAGCATTTATTTGGCTATTAAACATTTCAGGCATTTTGTTGAAGGAAGACAACTGATTATCAGAACTGATCATAAACCTTTGATTTTTGCTTTCCGTCAGAAATTGGATAAAGCGTCACCAAGACAGATCAGACAATTGGACTTTATTGCTCAATTCTCTACAAATATTACCTATATTTCTGGAAAAATGAATTCAGTTGCTGATGCTCTGTCAAGAATTGAATCTATTTCAATGCCTATTATAGTTTCTTTAGAAGAACTTGCTAATTATCAGAAAGAAGATGAAGAACTTCAAGTTTTACTTTCTTCAAATTCTTCACTTCTGTTGAAGAAACTTATTCTTTCAGGATCAACCATACCTATTTATTGTGATTGCTCTTCGGAATTAATTCGTCCATATGTTCCTAAACTCTTACGCAAGAGAATTTTTGATGTTGTTCATGGACTCGCTCACCCCAGCGGCAGATTGACATCTAAACAATTACTACTGAAATTCATTTGGCCTTCTTTGAAGAAAGATGTGAAGGAATGGACTCGAACTTGTCTTCCATGTCAACGTGCGAAGATTTCAAGACACACCAAGAATTCTCCAATTAAGATTGCAATTCCTGATCAACGCTTTCAGCATGTGCATTTAGACATTGTTGGACCACTTCCTATTTGTCAAAATTACCGTTATTGTCTTACTATGATTGATCGTTTTTCCAGATGGCCTGAAGCTGTTCCTATTTCTGAGATTTCTGCTGAAACTATTTCTACAACATTTTATTCACATTGGGTAGCACGTTTTGGTTCTCCTATCAGCATTACAACAGATCAAGGTCCTCAGTTTGAAGCAGCTTTATTCAAAGCTTTAACAAACCTAATTGGATGCCAAAGGATTAGAACTTCTGCTTATCATCCTGCTTCAAATGGAATTCTGGAAAGATGGCATAGGACTTTGAAAGCAGCGATTATGTGCCACGAAACAACCAACTGGGTAGAATCTTTACCTTCAGTTCTTTTGGGATTACGTTCGTGTTTCAAAGAAGATTTAAAAGCTTCACCTGCAGAACTTCTTTATGGATCCACTCTTCGTATTCCTGGAGAATTTTTCATTGAAGAAGATTTTCCTGCAGATCCTGAAATCTTTCTTGAAAAACACAGGATTCATATGAGGAATATCAGATCATCTCCTACAAGTCATCATTGCAAAAGATCACCTTTTGTTCACAAGAATCTTTTTGATTGTACTCATGTTTGGATTCGAGAAGATACTGTTAGGAAGTCACTACAACCTCCTTATTCTGGCCCTTTTCCTATTGAGAAACGTATCTCTGATCATTTATTTGCAGTTAATGTTTCAGGAAGAGTTGTCAATATTTCGACAGAACGTCTCAAGCCAGCCTTCATTCCTAGAACTTCAGATTCTACTGAACTTTCTACCAGATCTTCAGCTCCTGTTCCTGCTATTTCAACTCCTGTTCCTGCTATTTCAACTCCTGTTCCTGCTACTTCAGCTCCTGTTCCTGCTACTTCAGCTCCTGTTTCTGCTACTTCAAATCCTTCTTCTTCTTCTACTGTTGGAAAAGCTTTACGCACCTACCCACCAAAGAAGAAGAAAGTCCATTTCGCAACGAATATCGTCACTTGGGGGGGAGTACTGTAGCATTCATCATCCACACCTTTCATTTACACTCTACACTTTTATTACACCTTACACTTTTCACTGCACTTTTACACTTTTTTACATCTTTATACATTTGTAATAACTTCAATTCATTAATATACATAATGTTTTTAAGAAAAATCAATATTTCCATAACAACACATTCATTCATTTATTTGTTACATATTAATTCTTTTTGTTCTTTCGCTTTATACTTTCAATGAATAAACATTACTTTTTCAAAGATCTGGTGAATTTATTTATAAGTCGCTACAGCGTGACGCCCCAAGCGCCATCTCTCGGTGACATTTGGAACTCGCACGTCGAGTGCTCAGATGGTATTCGAATCTCGCCGGTAAAAACATCGAGAGGCGGTCACTTCGCCGGTCGAAAACCGTTATTTCGAGACATCCGTTGTTGACGCCTCGTCTTTGTCGGCACGCGGGAAATGGCGGAGGACGAGGAGGCCGACTTGCCGAACAACGCGCGGCTGTTCCAGATCGCGATCTCCAACAGTCTCAGAAACATCAGCGAGTCCGTAAGGTGAGCGCGACGTGTTGTGTCACCGAAAAACATGCGCGTGCGTCTCTTTTCGATTTCCCGCGCGCGTTCCTGGTACGCTAACCTCTCTTCTCTCTCGTACTCTCGTGTGACATAAAGAAGAAATGCTCCAGGGTGGCTTAGGTGCTCCAGATGTAAGTGTGTGCGAGATGATTCCTCGAGGCGAGGGCCAAAAATGTGTCAAAATCTTCTCACGTGTGTCTCTCTACTGCGAATTTAGATTGTTGTGTCAATAACAATAATAGGTTATTTTACTTCATTTTTTAGTTTTGTATCTATTTTTCTTAAATTCCTGATTAAGATTGAAATATTTCGTCTTTGCGCTTTTTCTGTTTCAGTGTGTCTCTGAGCTTTCCTGTTTAAATTCTTATGCCCAAACTTGCTAGCGCAATAACAGTACTGTTATCAGAAGTGTGTCAAGCACATCGTGTGGTTGAGAATATCTCTCGGATCGAGCAGAATCTTTCGTTTTTATGTTTTTCAGGATCAGGATTGTTTATTAGATGTGTCTTCCTTTTACGGTGAATTTTGACATTAACATGTTTTCATCAAAATCTTGGAAAATATTCTGAAAAATTTTATGTTACAGATAATGCAATGATAAATTTAAACCGAAATGATATCAAGAATATAAAAAAAGAAACACGTTGTATACGTCCTCTTATTGATGCAGCAATCTATCGCACGATTTATAAATGGAGAGACACGAGTGGTATAAAAAATTCATATTTTTATGACCGTCAATAATCTACAATAACTCCGAATTTTTTGTATATGTAAATGAGAGTGAATGTGAGAACGTTTTATATATCATTTTACACGAGACAATGGACCATGAAAATCTCTTCACGAGAAACCGAATTTCGTAATTTATTGATGACGAGATGAAACAATGGAAGAGGGATAAAATATTTAATTATAAATGCAATAATAATCCTAGGACAAAATTAATCAGGAATGTAAAAAAACCATTATTTATGTAACAATCTATAAATGGAGATACGCGAGCGGTATGAAAAAAATATTTTTATATTTGTCAGCAATATACAATAATTTCGAATTTTTTTTATAAATGAGAATGAATGTGAGAACGTTTTATATTATTTTACACGAGACGATGGACCACCGCAAAATCTTTACAAGAAACCAAATTTTGTAATTTATTGATAAGATGAAACAATGGAAGAAGAATACAAAATTTAATTACAAGTACAATAATAATCCTAGGACAAAATTAATGAAGAATGTAAAAAAAACCACTATTATTTCTTCACGCACGATCTATAAATGGAGATACACGAGCGGTATAAAAAAATATTTTTTATATCTGTCAGAGTAATACACAATAGTTTCGAATTTTTGTACAAATGAGAATGAATGTGAGAATGTTTTATATATCATTTTAGACGAGACGACGGTCCATCCTCTTCGCGAGAAACCGAGTTTCGTAATTTATTGATGCTGGGATGAGGCGGCGCGGATCGAAACGGGAAACGGTGGAGGAGGGATCGGCATCGTCGATGACCCAAACGCACGGCTCGGTGTTACTCGATGTCATTGGCCTCTGCGGTTCGCATGTTAATTCCTGGCTCCACGTCGCTCACGTGTACACCCGCGTCATCTCGTCCGGGACTCTTCCTGACTAAAATATCGGTCGGTCCCCTTCGCATCCGGACTTCTAGGAAAATCTTTGCGCGGGCCCACCCGGTTGACCTTCGAGGAATTCCACGAAGCGTTCGGGGAAACAAAGGCCAACAAAGGCCTCCCGCGCGGGAACGATGGTCATTTGTATCGCAGACGTACGTGCGTGCGTTCTGCAGCATAATTCGTTTTTGGTGCCCCGAGTGCGGCAAATAAATTGTACGTACGTAGTTCGTCTCCGACGATCGTTTCGTGAGGATGGAACCATTGATTTTTTAACGTTGTAAAAAACAATCAAAGGAATCGTCTCGATTTTATATCTATTATTAATTCTTGTGTGCGCAATATCGAAAAATGCGAATGTATTGTATAGATTTCGGCAAATTATATTAGCGAGTTCATTGTGGACAAATCGAAAGCGTGCTTAGTTAGGTCTGGACTAATGCAAATATGTAGCATTGATTTCAAATTGCACCAGTCCCGGCCTGATTGAGTATGCAAGAAACAACGCTCTGCAATTCTCGTTGACAGTATATGAATCTAAAATAGGTACGAAAATTTTAAATAAGTTTGATAGTGCGTTTATGTAGGTAGAAAAAAATTAAATGTAGCGTATTTCATTTTTTAAAACGTCGGAAATTGAGCGAAGAGGAGATTGGATCTCTTACTATTGTATGCTTATTTTATAAGACGCACGGCAAAAAGTCGATTAGAATCTTGCGTCTCTCGTCCCTTGTGATAGAAAGGTGCCGCTGCTCTTTGTCTGGCGTATCGGGACAAAGAAAAATTCTCGATCCTCGCCGGTGATACTCGTCACGTACCGGCTATACGTCATACCCGGAGAATGCGCATCCGGTCATGCGTTCGAGACGGCAGAGTAAAAAGGGCGCGTATATCTTTCTCGTACGCGTATATATCGTTTAGGTCGATAAAATGCCTTTGCGTGAAGTGAGATAAAGCGAATAATTCAAATCGTGCACTATGCAGCTTGTTCGATATTTCCGAAAGTCGCGCGATACATTAATCTTATAATAAATAAGGGCATCGAGTTTTCGAACCACGATAATTATACGCGTTTTATAATTTGACACAATAATTGTATATCGTACTGATTTATTTTGCACATAAATTAACCGATTTATTTTCCTTCTAGCGAAAATGAATTTGCCGAGATACTCACGATTATCAAATCGAAACCCAGCACTGCTCAGAAGTTACACAAAGCTATGATAAAGGAACTGTATAACAGTATGAATAATGATTTGGAGGATATATTGAAGGAAGGCAGTTTGCAAGATGTTTTGAGTAAAATAGCTAAACTGTCCGAGGAAAGTACGATGTCTGTTAATGAAGATGCATGGTCAGTAATAGAAAATTAAAATATATATAATTAAAAAATATTTTTTTGCAATTTCATAATTGTTCAATATTTCTCATTTAAATCATTTATATATATGATTGCAGGCGTCCACCAGGAAATATAATCGCACACTTGACATCGTTAGATGCACATAAAATCAAGGAAGCAACTGAGGAATTGGAGAAGCAAGTAAACGTAGTAGAAAGTGAAAACGAAATTTTAATGAAGAAAATTACAGAAAACAGATCGAGAATACGTTCCACAAATGATAGCATAATGAAAGTTATAAATCATACGCCAGTCATATTGCAAGAATTAGATGAAATATATAAAGAGTTAGTGTCTTGTCATAAAATGATCGAAGATTAATATTTTCGAGATAAAGATTAGAAATATATATATGTGTAATATTTATCTATATTATAATATACATTTGTATTGAAAGTAATAGAGATTTATTTATTTATTATGAACATTGCACAAAAATTTATAAACATTTAAAATATTGTTTAATTTTATATTGAAATTTATGAATTTTATTTATTTATTGTATCAACACATTGTCGCTTTAATTTATTTTCTGGTGCATTTTCTAAAACAGTATTTATTCGTTTTGCGATGTTTGGTGAAATGAATACGTTCTCAGATTTTTCCTTTAAACATTGAAGCAGTACCGCGTTCTTTTCCTGAATAAGAAATTTTTTTGTAAAAGTTTATAAGTAAACTTTGCAATAATAATTATACATATATATATGTCATTAAAGTAAGTTTGCAATAATAACTATATATATAGGTCGTTAAAATCACTTACTTCTTGTTCCGTAATCATAACTTTTACGAGGGCAAGCTTTTTATTGTTATCGTCGGCATTTTTTCTTAATTGTACTAACTCTTCCATCAGTGTATTTCTTTGTATCGACAACTCGCTTATCTTTGTGTGAAGTGTCTTCTCCAGATATTCGTAATCACTCGATTTTTTCACGCACATTTCGTAATTCAAATTGATATTTTTAAATTGTTCATGAAGATCTTCCTCCATCGGTTGTACATTTTGTAATACGAATAACGATTTGCTTTGTAATCGTCTCACGTTGTAAATTTTTGTCTCCATACTTTCGTACTTGTCACGGCAATTGCGCAATTTCGACTTGTAATGATCAATCTTCCTTTCCATCTCATGAGTTTTGTTACTATAATCCATATCGATATCCATTTCGCTGACTGTGCTAGAGTTGCTAACTGTATAATTCATTTGTCTATTTATTAATTTTTTCAACAAAGGCCTAATATGAGAAACAAGATAGAGTAAGGATAGATTAATTACCTTTCGTATATCGATTGATAATCCTTTTTTTGAAATTTTCATTGAATTTATTATTATCCATCTCTCGATTATATTATATGCTTCAAAAGATTCAAAATTGTCTGACAATATATGATAGGAATTTACATAAATTTTATTAAAGATTCTAATGACTTCCCAATAATAACCTTTCAGGAAATATTGAACGAGAAGTAGTAAGGTAATAAAAACAAATATGATGTAATGCAAAAATTATGGTTATATGAAAAGCACGAGTATCGATATCTTATTTTTGGGAAAATTAAATTATTAAGTTAAATAATTTAAACAATTTATTATATGAATATGTTATATTTCAATTAATTCTAATAAGATATATACTTCGCGCGAGTTGTATTTCTATGTTTACCGCCATTAAATTGCCGTTTCGATCGCATCGATACTATCGATATATCGATATCGAGTCGACCTGAATATTGCGATTCTCGAACTCGGGCAGTCCTCGGTAATGGAGTGCACGGTGAGACGGATTGCGGGTTCGGGCTTTCGTATCGCTCTAGATTTCTTATAATCGTTGCCATCCGAGTGTAAATTTCGCGCGAGAAAGGTAATCGGGCGTGTCTCGTGCAGTGTTGAGTGTTCGTTTCGTCAAATTAGTGTTGTGGCATAGTGATTTCCACATCGACGATCCACCGACCCCCGCTGGGCCCGGCTCTTGGAATAATCTCCCCTAATCAACGTTATTTTCTCTCGAAGAACGAGGCAAGTGCGATGTATCCGGTTTATCACCATCGGTATGTGTATATATCATGTTATCGCATGAATTATTCATTTTCTAGTAATCAAGCATTTCAATTAATATGCATGCATATTTCTTGATCGTGCCGTTTCTCGTCCCTTCTCCCTCTAAATATCGAAACATACGCTCGTTTCATGCGAAGTATAAAAAGCGCAGCTAATGAATAGACCTAATTAGCCTCGACTTAATTAGCATTCACAGCCCGATGATCGGGCGCCAACGCCGCGATTTGAAATAAGTCAAGCAACATGGCGGCGGTCGCGCGGGATCAGTTTCCCGCGTAAAAGCAAGCGCCGTCTCCCTCCGCCGCTAGATGGCTTGACGTCCGCAAGATGGCGGCAGCGCGTTCGATCACCACGCAACCCGCGGCACGGCTCGCCATTGCGACGTGATTGCCTACCGAAGTTTCGTGTTTGTGCGTGAGAGAATTTGGTCGTCTGTTACGTCGGATTTTTTCTGCGGCGGCCTACACAAAGTAAGTTGAAAATCGCACCTCCTGTCAAACATAAAGACCACTCGAAGAAAAACGACCGGCGAGCGGAGCCGCGCGCGTAACCGTACCCAGCCGAAATGTCACGCGTCGAAGGCGCGTCGTCGTCGTCTCTCCGGAGAGAGGGACACCTCTCTCGTTTCGTTCCTTTTCTTTTCTCCCTCTCGGGGAGGGTTAATTTCTAAAGACACGTCGTGTCCTTTCCTTCGCGCGCGCGCGTACACGCACGCACGCACGCACGCAAATCCGCTCGCTCGCTCGCTCGCTCCTTCGATCGCGATCCTTCAAAGAAGAACGCGACTTTTCCTCGATGTCTCGGTAAAGTTCCTTTCCTCTGACGCCGAACGCGACTCACGCGACATTTATGTCGCCGCAGGACCACGTCGCACTTTTAGAGGTTATACGCGCGACAACGCGCCGCTCCAGAAACGCGCGTCGCGAACGATGATGGCCGGAGTCGATACTTTCGTGTTGCGGATTTTTACGTTTTCGGATTATCGAGCAAGCGGCTCTTCCTCGGCGAAGTTACGAGGACGGTGCTCGTCGAAATAGCGACACGAGGAAGCGTAAACCGACGACGACGATTTTCCTCCCTCGAGCTTCGATATTCGAGAATTAAGTCGAATTAAATTAAATCAAAATATGAGTTCTTCGTGTGTGTCTCACAGTCTCAAATAATCGTGTAATTAATATTGTTTTGACGATCGAAATTTATTTATCTTTGATAGAGTCACTCTGTTATTTTTTTTCTTTCATGTATTGTAATTAATTAATGGTGGAAATGCAAGTATACACTTTAACGTTATACATTGTTTGTCCCTGAAGGAGAGTCGATATCTGTACAGCGCGATAAGTGGCTCTGTATGACGTGTTGCAACATATTTGTGTTACGACGTGTTACTCGGAATAACGTATTTTCACACGATTTGTGTCGCGCGGTTTAAAATTAAAATTTTTCTTTATTAGAAATCTAGTAATAGAATTTTCAGGTGATTTTGCAAATTGAAACAGCGATAACGTAATAAGCTATCGAAAATGCACATAGCAACGATACTGCGTGTATCGAAGGTATTTTCTTTTTGTTACAAATATTTTTATTGATGAAATTCTCTTTCATGTGCGTGCGCGATGTGTTTTTTATCTACAAATTGATATTCGGTTTCGTTAAAAATATATAGAAGTAATTAACACATTTTTATTTTTGTAAAAATATCAATAAGAAAATTTCTTCGAAATGCTAAATTTTGTATATATTCTGTATAAATTAATCATATATTTTCCATTGGTAAGAACAATTGTTCCGAATTGTGATTCAATATTCGTCTTCTACTTGTTTTCAAAAATTTTGTAAATAGAGAAATAAAAAACTTCTGATACACTTAAGTAGGATAATAAATCTATATTAAAAATATACATATTTTTATGAACGTAATATATCAACAATCGATTCGCAATTTCAGTTGAGATTTCTATTTTAGGAGTAAAATTATCTTGGATTTTTTCAAGAAAATAGATTCTTTTTTGCTCTCAAAGCTTTATCACGATGACTTTTCCAATAAGCTATTGAAAATCGCGAGCTATTGAATGTCGCGACACTTTACATATCTAAAAATTTTACAGAATATCGAATACCACTTATTGTTAGTGCTACTATTCTACTTTATATGTACACACACATATATATATATATATATACACACATATGTCGGGGTCGGGATTGATATTAGAATACGCGTGAACGACTGAGAATTTCCCGAGCAACAATTCTATTAATAACTCGATCTGGAACATTTTTACTTCGCGAGCGATCGCTGATGTGAAACGACATGCTTCGATATGCATACGCGTTTGTGTGTTAAATATATGTATGATGATATACATATAATCCTTCGTTATATTTCACGTCAACTCTATATATCCGCGATAATTATATTACATTAACTTAAGCGAGGGTAATAAACGAGCATATATGGACTCATTCAAACTGGAATTTGCTTGACCTTATTTTGGATTCAAGTTATTACGTAAACTTCGATCGATTCTCGCTTCAGGTTGGAAGTCTTTTTTTTATTTTGAACTCGTCTTGACACAAATTTCTCGAAATTGAAGAATTTTCAATTAATTCCTAGATATTCAATATTCGTTTATATTCAAAAGAGTCGCGTCGACTTTAACAGTTTTCCAATTTTTCCTTCCCACAACTCTCGATCCTTATTTATGAACCGCACGATTCGCGTAAATGAAAGATCACGGGAAAGATGCTTCTCCGGCGAAGCGGGTCCAGAGGAAGAGATGTGTGCCCTTTATTCGTCATTGCGGGGCGACAGAGGACGGAAGCAGGAGGGTCGGAGAGGAGAAGATAGTTTGGGCTAGGTCAAGCCGAGTTGATTCGTCCCCGAATGGCAATCGAGGGGTTCGGAGGGTCGAGGGGAAGAGTTAGCGCGACCGTTTCATCCAATTTCTCGACGAAGGGTGAGCGGACGAAGAGGGGTGGATTCCTCCCTCCCTCCCTCGCTCGACACAATGGCACAACAAAGCGTTACCAGGGTAACTGGCCGACGGAGCGGTTGCCATCACAAAACTTTCCAACTTGTGATTGCAAACATTAACGTCGCCGCGCCGGCACACGCGCGCTGCCATGCCGTGCGGATTCACACGCACGACACCGCCGTTTTCTCACACGCCCGCCGACACGCAAGCGCGCGTGCCTGGGACACGCACTTTGTTGTTTCCACTAAATGCCGGGTGGAACAACGGCGGCGTCGACGTTGGGAGGGATGGGCAAGATAGATGCTTCTTTGTGAATCGTTATGGTCAAGGTTTCTTTTTATATTATCTCTTTGCAGCTTGAATTGTTTTTCCTCCTTGTCGAAAAAGGAGGTGTCACTTTTGATGGCAGATGTAGACTGGCAAAGCTCGCTGTAGCATAGCGAATTTTGCGACCAGAATTTTAACAGATCTCACATTACACAGAATTCCCATTACGTCTATATTAAAAAATTGCGGTATTATTTATAGAATTAATTATAATATTCTCTAATAAAAAAATATTATATAATTCTCAACTTTTCTTCAGCTGATTACGTTCGATTTTTGTATCTCTTATTTACTGGCTAATTAATTTAATTCCACTGCGTCGCGAGGCAAAAAAGAATTTGTCATTCCGAATAATTGTATTTAAAATAATATACGTTAAAAATTGAAACAGATCTGTTGGTGGTGATAATTATATTGATGAATATTAATTTGACAATTATTTCGGAATTATGCACTATTTAAAAAAAACGCGAACCGGGATTTTATAGAAACGCTCGAATGTGAATAAACGTAAAGGTATTATTTTCAGTTAACCAATCACATCCTTTTGATAGCAGGTGCATGCCAGTAAAGTTAATGTAATATATTAAATTTTGAGTTAAAATTTTCGCGACGCGCGTAAACCAGAATTTCAGCAGAGATATTCTATGTAACTTTTCAACGTATGTGCGTTACAGAATTTACATCTACATTAAAATATTTCGTTATAATTATTAACTATATATAATTCTCAACTTGTCTCTAGTCGAACACACACGATATTTCGAGTTTCTTCTCTTTTAAAAATTATATATTCGCTAATTGCAATTTAATTCGAATACGTGGCAAGACAAAAGAGAGTTGTTAAAATAATATGCGTTAAAAAATTAGAAGAGAAACCCGATGATAATTATTGATGAATAATTTAATAATTATCGCTTGGATGCGCTATAGAAAAACGCAAACATTTAAATTTAAGGATATTACTTCCACGAGATATTATTTTATTATATGTACATAATCAATCATTCTGTCTGCAATGTAGAGAAGCCAAATTGACCGATTAACGCTTTAGATCGGAATGCTTAGTTCAGATACGAGTGAGCTTCGTCGATTCTAGGTCTCGAGAAAATAGCCGCGACGCGACTAGCCTTGATTATTTCGCAGTCTCCGCGCGAGTTGGTCTCACGATTTATGCAAAGGGATCGACCGCCACCGCCCCGGTCAACCTTGATTACACT